GAAATTCAATTATTTCAATGAGTAGTCTCCCACTGTCTACTAGTTCCAAATTAGTCAAATTCACAGTAATTTAAGCAACAGAATGAGGTTTAAAAAGGACTTATAAGTTTTACACACTAAGAATATGACATTACCTTTGATGGCCACATGTATACAAGGAATATGTTCAAGTTATTCAGAAATGTATGATGAAAATGGGCACAAAACATTTCTAAAATCCCTACAGTTTTCTTGAAACTTAAAAAATACACTAGTAGGACGATCTTGAGTCTCTATATTTCTGCTTCCTTGGATTCTTTTCACCTGTGTGCTTATATGCATTATTATTTTAAAGTATGTATCATAGCATCAGGCTGTGTATTCCCATTCTGGTTTTCAAATGCTTAAGGAAAATTTGAGGTTTAATCATAGATCCTACCTTTTCACAAAAATAAATTTCTTATGAATTCCATGGTATAATTTTTTTAACTTTTTAATTGAATATATTAGCAGTTAAAGATAGCCAAGTTTCAAGCCACCAAGTGATTTCTTTTGACTTTTTTCTTTTTCTTTTTTCATTACACTCAGGGTCATACTTATTACTGTACACATAAAAGACAAGGAGGGATATATTTTTGAGAATTTCTAAAATGACCTGAAACAATTTCCAACTTCCCACAAAGGCAAGTTGAGTATCCATTTTGTTTCACCAGCTCTCATTAAGTTTCTGATGCACACCCCACTGCCAAAACAGCTCCAAGACCTCTATTATGTGTTCCCTGTAATTTGATATCTATTGTACACTGGTTAGATACTGCGTGACACAAGCATCTATACATAGTCTGGAGAGGAGACCACAAATTCAGGGTCAAACTGCTAGAACTACTAAGTACTACTAATTACTTTGAACATAAAGGTCTTAATTCAGGATTCTAATCCATTTCCAAAAGGAATTTATTCTGGGAACATCTCAGAGATATTTGAATAATGCTGTGGTTATGAAAACTGTCCTGAAGTTCAAAAGCATCTCATAGTTTCAGTTTACTTCATGGAAATATAAATGCAAAAGCCAATATATGTTGCATATATAAATATCTGTGTATGCATATATGCATGTATATTTGTAATTTAGTACACATATGAAATCATTTTCTGAAAAGGACATAACTTTCATAGTTGTAGTATATACTTTTTATGCAACTTACACGTAAAATTATGATAAATATTTTTATTATAGGATGACTTACACTTTGTTTTGATACATTTATTGCTAATTTCATTCCTTGCAACCTATTCATTAAATAGCATTTGTGGAATAAAGCACTAGGTGTTTCAGGGAACATAAAATAAGATGTTTTATCTTTAAGCTGCCACATAAAGTAATTGTGCTAACAAGATATCTGGGAGCTATTTCTGCTGTAATAGATATTCATTCCTTCTATAAAATTGATTCAGTTATGCCTGCCTTTTATATGCTATTAGATAGTAGCTTGCAGAGATAGGTAACATCACCAGACATTCCTAAGAATGTTTGTCATGTGAATTTGCTCATCTAGTTCTCACAAATATACTGTAATAGAGGTGTTACTTTATTTTCCTTTTTTTTGGTATACTAGGAAATGAGGATCAACATTATGAATTACTTCTGTGTGAGGAAGTGTTAGAGCTGAGTTTGAAACCAAGGAGGCTTTCCCAATATATATAGCTATAATATTTTGTTATTCCTCAAGAGCAAATAGAAGAGTGACCCTCATTTCCAAGCTGGAATGCTAGATCTGATCATAATCACATGTGTATATACCATAGGCAGGAAGAGGATGAGTAAGTTTGGAACAGGGAAGACTGTCATGAAGGGTTTGAAACACAACTGAATTTCAGAATTAGAGTTTCCATTGGTTACTCACACATGAAGCTGAGAGTAAAAATATGTGTATCAAATAAACATATAAATATCAAATACAAGCAAACTGCCCTCCAAAATCCAATAATGGAACAAGAGTGCCAGGTGTGATTATACAGAGCTAACACCTATTTTGTGAAGTTTAAATGCAAGTGTAAGTCTATCAAATTAGACAAATCTAGCCTGCAGCACCTTTTACTTTTCCTGCCTTCCCTCCTTCCCTTTTCTTCCTTCTTTCTTCCTTTCTTTCATTTTCCTTTTTTTTAAAGTTAGGTAATTCTGGAGCCAAATGAATGTGGCCACTACCTGGAAACAGATTTTGTTTACCTTGGATTCCATGTCTAAATAAGGAAGGTATCAACTTCATAATCCTTCTATGGTAACAAGACAAAGCCATAAATCAAGACAATTTTCAAATACATATGTGGGTACATCAGATTTATGAGTCATAACAAAATAGTGAGAAATCAGCTATGGACCTTAGATGCATCCTGAAATATTTATCTTTTATTGATTGGTAGAAAACTAAGGTTTTATCCATTTAATGCCCTCTGAATGCTTTTATTGTCAGGTCATACACAAAAGTGGGCAAGGAATGGCTGTTTGGAGGGCTAAAGATAGGCTTCAGTCAGACTTCACAGAAATGACTTACATCTTCTACAGACACTGATTCCTTCCAGGAGTTACCCTTCAGTTTCTTTTGTTGGCCAAGAATCATATTTTGTGCATGCATAGGGGCACATATTATTCATTTCTCCATAGCTAGGAAGGCTTGTTTCTGGAATCTGATGTAGATGAGGCTGAGTAGTGAGCAGGACAGCAGTCATGAGGGGAGAGGAACAGTTAGCAAAACTTTTAGGAGTGAAACTCCTGGAGCATGTCAAAACTACTGGTCACGAGGATCCAGACTCAGCATCCTCTTTAATACTCTGTACCCAGTGTGACATTAACATGTGACATGTAATCATCTCATTAAACCTTAAAATTAAGGTAATTAAGACTACTGCTCAGCCTAATGGAATAAAATAAAAGATTGAGGAAAAATCTTACACAACCAAAATCTGTGTTTAATATAAAACGAGATTAGATACACCCCCTTGCATTTATAGTTACTTGTATTTTATGAACTATTGTATTTATAATGGAGGATCATATATATATTCATATACAATATATATATATATATGAATATGTATGTATAATTTTAAGATTTTTTTCTCCAGTTTGATCTTGTAGCTACAACTTCATTTGGAGTAGTCAGCCATAACTACAGGAAAGATGGTTCTGTCATATTTAAATATTAACTATAATCTGTAGATACTAATATGCTCAATTTTCCTATATTGTCATTAATTGGACTTAATTTAGGAAAGTAAACATTTGGAAAGCATTGTCACAGACAGAATTGAGTAACACTATGGTAATTTTTTGCCAAATATTATAACAGTGACAGGAAGAGGAGGTTAGAACTGTCAGAAATCAGAGTTCTTAGTCCTTGTCAGCATAACCAAATCTTATGTGTTTTTTAATGGTTGGAATTAGAGGTTGGAATCTAGAAGGAGTCATTATAGTAATGTTGATTTCCTTTTTATCAGATAAATTTAATTATTATTACATTTTAAAACAAAACTAGTTTTGCTATATTATACCATAGACAATATTTTATTTAAATAAACAACAGCAATTTGTGACACATTGTGAAATCTGTTAAATGCCAAAAACATATACTTCACTTTCCAGTGTGATATTGATGTGCAATAATAAAAACTTTTTCAGAGTAGAATGCTAAACTTGGTTTCTTCAGTGAGCACTTAGTTTTGGGTTACTAATATATACTTCATATGGCAATTGAGCAGTACTTAGTTATACACAACACAACAGTTAATTATATGTCACAATGATTATATTGAAGATTTGCAATAAGGACCCACTGTTAGTGTGTTGTGAGCATGGTTAATGCATCTGGAGTCCAGGCTTGTGTAGTTTGGCAAATGTTTCCAGATTAATTCAACATTTAAAAAAAGTCATGGTCTGATAGCCCTCAATCTTGCTTATCCTCCACACATTAAAGAAGACCTTTGAAATCAAAAGAAAACTTAGACAGAGCCAGGCAGTGGTGGTGGTGGCTCATGCCTTTAGTTCCAGCACTTGTGAGGTAGAAGCAGGTGGATCTCTTAGAATTTGAGTGGAATCTTGTCTACAAAGTGAGTGCCACCAGCCAGGACTATATAGAGAAAGTACCTCAAAACAAAACAAAAACATCTATATTTTCATGAGCCTCTCAACACTTTACAGTTTATAGTTTACTTAATATTGAGGATTTTTTCCAACTTTTTTTATTTGAATTAGGAACAGGATTGTTTTACATGACAATCCCATTTCCCTTCTCCCACCCGTCTGCCCCTACCCGTCCCCGCCACTAAAACCTTATCTGTCACACATCTTCTCTGCTCCCCCTGAATGGTGAGGCTTTCCATAGGGTATCATCAGAGTTTTTCGTTTCCTTTGGGGTAGGGCCTAGGCCCACCCCCGTGTGTCTTGGCTCAGGGAGTATTCCTCTATATGGACTGAGATCCCAAAGTCCACTCCTATGCTATGGATAAATACTGGGCTTCTACAGGAGGTCCCGTAGATTTCTGAGGTTTCCTTACAGAAACCCATGTTCCTTTGGTCTGTATCAGCTCCATGCTGGTATTCCAGCTATCTGCATTTGGGTTCCAGTTCAGATCGGTTATTAGTTATGGGTGTCTGCTTCTACTTCCACCAGCTGCTGGATGAGGGCATATAAGTCTGTTATCAATCTCATAATCATTGGAGGGCATTTGAGGTAGCCTCTCCTCCACAATATTGAGGATTTTTAACTGGACTCTTATGCAGTCATTTCATGTACTTTAAAATTGCCACCAGTTACATTTAATCTAAAATGTTAATACTACTACTCAAGGATGAATTAATTTATGATTATGAAAAGAAATCCACAGATTCCTACTATACCCTGAAACAGCCAGTCCCTGTAGGAGCAAGCAGGGAATCAAATATAGTATTTAATTACATTTATGTTATGTTTTGTTTCCATTTAAATAAGTCATAAGTCCATGAGATAACTATTTATTAAAGAATATGAAATACAGTATACTTCAAGAACTTGAGTATCATCCTTGGGCAGAGGCCATGCTAATCACTTCATGGTTTCAGCACTAGTGTGTGTGTGTCATGGCAAAGACAGGACACACAACTTTTCATTTTGCAGTTTTACTTTTCTCACATGCAACTAAGATAATGAAAACATTTAAATTGGAATTTCCTATAATAAGATTTTTATAATATGCATGTTAAAATGCCAAAGATGATATTTTAAATAGTCTATATGGCAATATAGAATACTATTCACATTTTATTATGAAGCAGTATGTATTCATGAGAAATAGCCCATATTTAAGCCAAACATGAAAACTGTCATTTTTATTAATTTTGCTTCTGTTAATTTTTTATTATTTTAAGAGTTTTGTTTTTTAATTAATACAAAAAACTGTGAGAGATGATTTTCTGACAATTAAGTACATTTCTATTTCACTGATATTTTCTCCTCAACAACCTGCCAGTTCTTTCTTACCCACCTAAAATGCTGTGCACTACATGGAAGCTCATGTAGTTGTAAACTTATCTCATCCTTATTTCAACCCTATTCCCACAACACTTGTCTAACACTAAGGATCTGTAAACCATGGTGTTACTATGGCTGACCATAATCTACCAGCTAGTGGTTATTACTACTGTATAGGAGAGAGATAAGGAAAAGGAGAGGAAGACATTCTGAGCAGTTGTTCCCTTTGTGTCTTAAAGTACCACAGCAGGTAAAACAAAAATATATTGCTTGCCATGGAACCAAGCAGCAGAATTTGAAAAATCTACTTTGCAGTGATCTGTTTAAACAAAACCATGGGGGGTTAATAAGTTGACCAAAGAGAAAACAAACCGAAGAGTAAGACTCAGAACTGCCCAGTGGTTACTTTAATCATGCTGCAGTAAGAATACCATATAAATCAAAGCATGACAGCTGTTGCAATAAATGCACCCAGAGATTCAGGACTTTTTATCCTTTTTACTCAGCAGCTTCCCTTATTATGGAAAATATGGAGCACTCTAGACTATGCTCATTTACATAATTAATTTGATTATTTTAATAAACATTGTTCCTACTCCCTATAAAAGTGATGATACCAAAAATCTATAGTTTGCTTCCATTAGTATCAATTAACAACATAGTCATTTCTCAATTATATCGTTGCCTACCATGCATGTATCCAATAATCTAAAATTAAAATCCAGTATGCTATGCCATTCTCATTAAATGCCTAACATCTAATCTGTTGCACTTGAGCTAGTGAAGGATATTGTTTTGGAAAGGTAATTAGCAATGTTATTGCTTACAACATTCTATCTGCTGGAGTAGAGATTTTTAGAAGAAACTAGCAAATATTCTAATTGAACTATCTATTTGACATAAGCATGTGCACTGATACTGTTAATTATTCTCTGCTCTAACTGGTCAATTAAAACTGTGAAGGGACAGTCAGTGCAAAAGTAGTGTTTTCAAAACGTCATCTCTCTATCATTTAATTCCAATAACTTAATAGTATCACTTTCACCAAGTGACTCAAACATTTTCAGTTGCATATATCTTTCTTAAAATTAAAAAAAGTAATAGCCTGTGTCACATGCTGAAAGGTACAGTTCAAAGTGCTATTATTGCTGTACTCATGGTGATAATTAATCCTTTAGTCATTATCATAATGAAGAACCATGTTCAGAAAATGCAGATTGAAAACTTGAGATATAAACACAAGTCACTCATTACCTATCAGACAAATTGATTTGTACATTCATGGCAGAGTAACATAGAGTCTTCCAAATAGCTATTCTAGCCTAATCCAAGCTTGTCTAGCCTTCTCATGTTTCACTTCATGATTGCTAAATGGCCTGCTCTCAAATGCAGCACCAGCACCAAAAATTTTATTCTTAATTTATGACTATTTTTCATAGGAATCAGAACTGATTCCCAATTTTTTTAAAGAGGTCTACATTTTACCCCCTAACTGAAATAATTGAAGTAAATTTACAACTGTCTATGGCCAATTATGTCTGAAAACTTTGACAAGTTCCAAGTATAACTTCATCAACTGCAAAAGAACTGATTGTGTTTTTCACATTGTTTAAAGAAATTTACACACATTTGTAAGAAGATCAACTCTGTTATTGTGCAGAAAACAAACATGGAAAATCATGCTGATCTTTTTCAATAGGACAAAACCATCCAAGAAGTGTCCATCACTATGTGTAAAAATTTAACTGACTGTTTCTAATTTTTTTCTCATTTCAGTCATATGTAGGATTGCATGAATTTCTCCATGTGTATCCTGAAATCATTGGAGGAGATGGCACTCAACGGCCACACTTTTATCTTATTTTGACTTGCCTTTCTTCTGATATTTCCCTCAACCTCCCTCAGTTTTAAAATTAGAGTTATTGAAACCAATGTTGTCTTTGAAATAATGTTCAACTTGTATGCCCATGTGCACACACACATACCCTGTTATTTATTGACACCATACAGCAGAATACTTTGATATTTTTCTTCAGGTCTTGCTCAATTATGAGGTTCCATGGAAAGAAACAAATAAAAGATATAAGATACAGATTTCAGGACTGATGTGAAAAAATTTGGGTAACTTACTACATGGAGTGGGGATATTAGTATATTTGCAAACCAGTCTCAACCATCCCCAAAGAAGACACAAACTATTTCTAAGGATATTTATACATTTTTCTTCAAAAATTAAAAAAAATATTAAAAATGATAAATGATAAAAACCAGAGAAGATGAAAACTCTTTGGATTACATTCATAGTGTCAATAAAAAATTGGAAATCTGTAATATGGTTGACTGATGGTTCTAGTATCGGGAAATCAGAGAAATTCACATCACTGTTGGGAGATTTGATATTCTTAAATTTATAATCCTATACGAGCTTTCTGTATTTACCAAATGTGCTATATACTAGTTGCTAGAATGTTATGACTTCAGTATTTCATCAATAAATGATTAGATATTAAATGTTAATGTGGGCTGAGATTATTTTCTCTACAAATCATTTCTCTTGAGGTACCTTTCCAAATCAATATCTCACGAAATATGTTGATTGTCACATTTCAATTGTACTGTGCTATCTTGTGAGGCAAGGTGGATAGAAATTACATACATGTCAGAGATCTAGATAACTACATTATTAATAACAATCTATTCTCTCTTTTGTGAGAGACATTTTAAAACAAAGAAGCTGGCTATTGCTGTCCTAAATTTGCTTACTTAGAACAGTCAGCCTAAAATCTGGATGTCTAAGCAACAGGAACTTTGAACTTCTGTGATAATGAATTTGGGGACCATCTAAGTCAATGGTAACATTCTGTATATGTGAGATTATTTAGTTCTGTGGTTTACCTGTACTTTCTGCATAGCTATATGTTAACTGCATACAAAGATATTGTAGACAATCAGAAACTAGTTATTATGGCTCAGAGATCAGTCGATTTTACTCTGATATTCCTAGTTAATTCACTTAATGTGTATGTTGGAGATGCAGAATGGAGGAGACAGTCGGAGTGGACATTTAGGGATTGTTATGGATAACTAACATAGTAACCATCAGAAGTTACAGTTATCCAGAGTGCTTGAACACTGTCCTTTGCATGACTGTCTGCTTTTAGCTTCTGTGAGAAACTCAGGCTACCGTTCTGTTCTTCATTCAAAAGAATTGTGTCTCAGCTCTGGATACCTGCACACAGTTCCTCCCGAACTAAGAAGTACTGGTACCATTTTTACATAGATGTTCAAGTTCTCTCTCATGGTTTCTCCTTTTCTATTAATTGGCTTTTCTTCTAATATAATTTGTTTTACATTTCTGTAAGGGTGTGTCATACTAGTAGCACACTCTTAGAGATGTGTTTCTATAAAATTCTTACAAATTTCAATAAAATATATAATTGCTTTTATTTTTGAAATCTAATATATACATATATATGTATGCATGCATGAATTTATAACTTACTGATTAGAAGGACTCAAATAATGTATGTCTAATTATTTTTTACATTGTGACACAGTGTGGACATCAAAATTCATGTTTGGGAACCAAGGAACTGAGTTACAAAAATAGTCAAAAACATTTAAAAGCATGCCTACAGTTTTGTGTTGAGTCTTACTCAGCTATCCTGAGATATATGTAGTATTAAACTACTGAAATAGATAATATTTTTCTGCTAACTGCATTGTAAATGAAGTGTCTTTGTTTGACTTCTTTTCAAATAACAAAAAAGTTTTGATTGTAGTTATATGTTTAACTTGAAGCACCATTTACACTATGTGCAGAATACAGCACATAGTGTGTCCCTGCAATGGCCAGGGAAATAGCTAGGGCAATGGCTAGGGCAATGACATTGCTTCATACTTATTCAGAGATTACTTTCTCAAGTCTCAAATGCTCACTGCAGCAGCATCTGGGGAAGAGCTCTTGGGAAATCTGCCTCAAAAAACAGCCAATCCCAATAGAAGAACCCCTGTGCTTCTGAACTGGGCTGACAATGCCTGCAAGGGAAGCTTGTGCTCATAATCCAATACTCAACTCTTCTATTTCCCTTCTTGACTTGGTATAATCATAGTTGTCAGATAGTTCACTTTCTGAGTTTCCCAACTTAATGACGTTGGTTTGATCCTTTGTTTACTTTAAAACTGTAGATGCCATGGCTCACTTGTCTTCTATGAATCCCAAAGTTTCAAGTCATGCCGATAATTCTATGCAGTTTGGATTCACATTTGGATAAAACTGGTGCTGTTCTGGTGTCCTGTACTTAGCTAAATTCTACATGCAAACATCCAATCAGACAAAATGAGGAAAACTTCTGCTTCCTCATATCTCTTACCTTCTACCAGTAACTCTTACACACCAGTAAGTTCTTTAAAGGAAAGGTGTGCCTCGCTCCTTTTCTGTCCTGCCTTCCTCCCTACAACTGCATTAGCTTGAAGAAATAGGTACAGCTGTGAATCTGTTTTACGGAAGATTTTGAGTTCTCTTTGAGTCTCTACTCTCACCCCCACCCCCTGCATTATCTCTTTTAATTTCCACGGACTACTTTATCCTAAGATCCTGTGTAATATTAAATTACAATAATAGCAA